GCACAATTTTCGAAAATTGAATGATTAAACGTGTGCCAAAAAGTCCGAACTATCGATTATCTGCTTTAAAATATCAATATTATCAATATAATACGCTAATAACAAGATCTACAGTTCATAAAGGAAAGAAAAATAAAAATTTAGTATCTTATCTCGCTTCTACATCCCATAGAATCTGGATAAAACATTGGAAAATGTATTTTAAAATCGAAACTGAAATAAGATGTTGCTCGGATTTTTTCACCTCTATTTTTTTAAAATTAATATTAATAAGACTAATTAAAATAAAATGACACGTTGAAAATAACTTAATAATATAATACAAAGCCCATTTAAAGTTCACAGTAAGACTAAATAGCTATGAATGGATATTGAAGCTACAATAGTTTTGTCCAATAATGTACACTTTTACACGTTAATATCACATTTTCTCATAAGGAAACTGGAAGAATAATGTTAATTTGACATCATTCTTTCAGTTTTCTTATGAGAAACAGTATACACTCTTCATTACGTAATACATTCAACTTGTTTATAAATAAAACAGAAAGGTAGAAGAAATATAGGCAGACATCAATGCTAATAATAATTCTAATATTTAAGATTAGATATCAATATTTAACCTTCAATTCTAGAAACATTTTCTAATAATAAAGTATAGATATACATTAATAACATCCTTCGATATACAGAGAAATTTTTCGTATTGATTTTAATAGTTAAAACTACTCCAATATTTATCTATTAATTATTAGAGTAAATAGAAAGATTACAGTGTCTTCGGCATAATTTTCCGGGATTAATAATTAATTTCTTTGTACATTTAGCTTGTAATTTATATACTTTATTAACTTTATTACTTTTTAATGTGGATTCGAATATATTGAGAAAGTACAGTAAGTCGACCCCCTATAACACTTGATAATTGCGTTTTATATGAATTCCGTGTTGTACGAGTCACTTAGATTTTACAAATACATGTGCCGGGCTGTGAACGGCTCACGTATTTGTAAAATCTAAGTGACTCGTACAACACGGAATTCATATAAAACGCAATTATCAAGTGTTATAGGGGGTCGACTTACTGTACTTNTCAAAACTATATATATATATATATATATATATATTTTAGTATATCGAAAGTAATTTCGGTATTATATGAAAGATAAATCAAACATTTGCACGCCTTATCTTCGGGTATCAATATAAATGAATTGCAAAACGAATGTTCTTGTTTCGACTTCCTCCGCAATCCTTCGTTATCAATGGCCAAATTGATAAGCCATGTAATAGAACAAAACACTAGAAATGGCATAATTTTTTTGGCTGGTATTTCCTAAAATAAGAAATACCGTAACCGAAACTTTTCGTGGAGGCCGTGTCCACTAGATGGCGCTTGAGAAAGAAAGGCGATAAAGAGAAAAAAAATGGAAGGTTTCTGTCCGGCAGAAAAGTAGGACAGAGGTTAAGTCCACATGGAGGAGGCCGTAAAATTCGTGTAGAAATCGGGCATTTTGATTCGGTACGGACGTATTGCGACCTACTCGATTCCGGAAAGTCGGTTAGAGTGTATAAAGAGCGGGCGATGCTGCAAAAATGGGCAATTTATACGAAGCGAGCCGGATAAAAGAACGATCCGGCGTCTAAATAAGAATCGAAAGCATCCAGGCGGGGGTGCTATATTCCCTTCGGGGTCCTAGAATCTTTCGACCAACGCCGGCTGTGCTAGAGTGACGTCAAGCGGCAAACAACCAATGAGAGAAAGGGTAGCTCCGCATATGGAATGGCATGTACTCGTAGTGGCAGTGTGGCCCAGAAGGCGGCAGAGTGAATAGCATGAGCGGCTGGATGTACCCAGACCGGCTTTAAGCCTAAGTGCCTTTCAATAAGGTTAACTAAACCCGAGACACATGGATAGCGCCCTATGCGCCTTCAACGAACGCAGTTCTTACGAGGAAGACCAAATCGTACCCGATTGTAGTCTAGTGTCTTCTCGACATCCCGCCAGTCGTTTTCAGGTAAGCGGCGTGTCGTATCGGAATGTAGCGACCTCCAAATCTCGAACTAACGTCGTCAAACCCGGGGATACGATAAACAACGATCGAGAGTATATTTCCTACTCGAAACTACGATCAAAACAGAGATACCATAGAGTTGCTTCCCGCCATCTTCTCTTATCTCTCAGAGACATTACTGGATGTCGCGCAATGTCTTTCCCAGAAAACGTTCGCCATCCGGATGACAAAACGCTTTTCCCCTTCCGTCGCCTTTCCAATGGTTTCGTCTGTACAGAAAACGAGATGTGCACGTGCGATTACATAGCCTTTTGACGTGCGTTTTAACGTTGCATCGAGTGCGCCTCTCGCAGAATCCCAGGATAATTTCTATAGAATTATCTCGCAATTTTCAATTTTTAGAAATGGGTTAAACTGTATTTCCTATATATATTTATTGCCCAATATTTTATATGGGATGTAACTTAAATTAGTTAAGGCCAAACTTTCCGAAATACCATCGTAGATGGAAGAGAAATTTGGGATGCTTTTAGATAAGAATGCATTTTATTTTGTTACATTTTACATACACCCGTACAGACAAACAGACGGACATTTATAGAGGCGCCTGTAAAATGTAATGCCAGAAACAAAGATAAAGTGTGTGTGTATGTGTGTGTGTGTTTGTATTCTGTCTTACATCACATTTTGCAGGCATTACGCATATTATGGGCATATATTTTACCTTCTGCGTGGCATTAAATTTTATAAATTCATATTTAATCTTCTTCTTTTGTAAATTTACTTTGATTTTTGGCTAGGAATTTCACAATAAACAAGATGTTTACAGCTTATAACTGTAGATATTCTCGATGTTTTTTATGTTAAATTATCCCACGAGAAACTTATTTTTATAAAGTTTGGTTTAATAAAAATAATCGAATTTATCTTTAGTAGGTTCTAGAATAGTTTTTCTTCCGTCATGCATTATATCATCAAGAACAGTCAGTATTTGAGCTTGTTCGGGAGACTATTTGCTACATACCATACATGCTCTATATTGGTTGCTAAGAAAAGCTTAGAAAGAGTTCTTTGTTGGCGAGTGATAAATGAAATAAGGTAGAAAAGAGGAGAGGTGGGTGTGATAGGGCAAAGAGGAAACTACAAAAACTCTCTAAATAGTAAGAAAATCGTTCCTCTCCCTCCGGACATTTCGATTTCATTCTTCCACACATAATCATCGAATAGCGAATAAAACCGCATTTTCCGTTGGATTTTACGGAAATATTATGCAATTTTTCATCCTAAAATACGTGTAACGAAATAGTAAATTAGGCCAAAGACAACTTCATTCATACACGGTGACTTAAGTTTGCCTGTGTACACGTTAACTTATCAGTAGCTAACTCAATCACTATACTGATAAAGGCAATTCCTTACACACAAAACATCTCGTTTCTATGTTTATATTCATTATATTGACAAAGTTTAAGACGAATAAAAGCGTACAAGGTACAGAAATAATAAGTTTTTAACTACTTATACTTATTTATAAGGTTTTGAATTAGTCATCCAATTCGAAGAATGCAGGTAAAAATTGATACCAGAATTTAGAAATTTATATATATATTGAATTCACGAAATTATTTGTTGATTTATAATTAATTTTTATTAGGGTGAATAAGGTATAACTGTCAAAAGTTCGATGACAAATGAGTAAACCTATCCGGATAGCAAGATGGCGTATTAGAATTTCAGCTGTCATTTCGTCCACTCTCTATTCCAGGAAACCACAATCTGTGGCGCAGCTGGGCGTCGCCTCTCTCTCCAAAAAAAAAAAATGGAGGATTTTTTTAGTCCAGTGCGATTTCTGCAAGTATTGTGCTTGGAAATTTAAGGACAACTTCATTATATAAAAGTTTAAAGTCGGGTCATAAGCGACGTTTCAGTTAAGCTAGAAATCGATTTAAAAGACATTTTCTACATAAGTTACAATTAAAAAACATGTCCCGAATTGGGACATGTTTTTAATTATTAATAAAAGAATAACGGAGATTTTTATTTGACCGTTGTTAATGATTAAATGTAATCTAAATTATCTTTAGTTTTGCTTATCAGCGAAGGACAGAATTTGAAGTATTTTATACTTTGTAATCGCTCAGTAAAAAGTAATAAAATTTGAAGTATATATTTTTTTAAATTGTGTAGCTTATTTGTAAACAACGGGCTTTAATTTTGTATGTTTGTGTGGTTTGAATTTTTGATTCTTTATCGACCTGACAGGGATAAGTTTTTACACGAAAGGTTCCCCCCTTTCAGCTGATTGTTGTTACTTATTGAAGAAAACTGGAATTTCTAGACCAACAAGCGGTATTTGGTAGAAAGGGAGAAAGTGAACTATTGAAGGTTCCTCCTCCGTTTGGCAAAGCCCGAGGTCAATTTGTCGAATGACGGATGAGCTGCTCACAGCCCGGAACTGTCACGCAGTGATTGAACGACCGGCGACCCACCTATCCACTATGCCTTAATCCTAATGTGATTAACTCTTTTTTATTCTGGAGGATGGAGGGATACCCTATACCCTTATCTCGGGAAGTTCTTTCGATACTTGAGAAAGAGTCTACAATAATAAAGATTAGCAAAGATGGTGGCGTGGTTTTTTAAAAACAACATATAAAAGTTGTTAAATCTTTAAGCTCGTTTTAGTTAGCCTCCTTTCTGGGAAATGTCCCACATCTTACTTTAATTACGTCCCTGAGTTTAATTGGTTTGTTGCGCTGCTGCAGTGTAAAAACACGATGGCCAAAAAAGCCACCCGGTCGAGAGCTGTAAACACGCTACCAATTGATTAATGTCGAGTCACGTGGCACGATTCGCTACCCAATCGCAATTTAAAGTTCTGAGAATTTCGTCCGGGGCTCGAAAGGGAAGTTTTGTGTTTTGTTCCGCGCATTTTCGTTTTATTGATGGAAATCAGTTATATGCACTTATTTCGTTTCTTTGCAGCCTCCTTGCAAAGTCGAATTGGACCCGTACTTGACCAGCAGATCGGATTGGTACAGAACGACTAATGTCGGTTCTACTCAATTTTTCCAAAAACCCAGAAGAGAGAGTGCCTCTCAAGTAGACGAATTTTTCGAAGAAGCTACAGACTTGATGCCCGGTTGCAATCACAGTACCCACTATATGCAAGGAGCACGTTCAAATCCTCGAGCTTACGGCTCCCCTTACTATTTGAATCCAACGGGAAGACAAGGTGAACAGGGAATAGGTCGTGGAGATTTGCAAACGGCATCTGGTTTCCCTACAAACTGTCATCCCAGTCCGAAATCGGACGACGACGTTTTCGCTCGACCCAATCCAGTCATGAATTCTACAACGGGAAGTTTGAGCGGAATGTGGGAAGACATCACCGCTTCCATCTATAAACTCGATCCGGAAAACTTAGACATCGTGCAAAATATCAAGACCGAAACGGGGGCTCTACCTCCTTGCCCCTATGCCAACAATCACGGAGTCGTGGGCCAAACATTGCCACAGAATGGCAACAACCTAATGACAATAAAAGAAGAAAAATCTTATCCTCCGGTCCATCACAATCAGAATGGCGGGGCAGGAGTACCCATTCGAGTACCCTCTACTAACGCTACATATCCCACCGGTCTTCAAGCTTTTCGTTTCACGAGCATGGGCCCTCATTTCGCCATGGCGCGTGTTTATCTTCCTCCTACTCCACCCAATTCCGAACCCGGTAGTCCATCGACGGACAATTTTGCTTTGGGAAGAAGAACACCGCCTCCACCTTATCCAGTTTCGTCAGCTTCGACGCCGGGACAGTCCATAATTTCAGAAGTTCAAACTCCGGTGGTCAAGTATAATAGGAGAAATAATCCCGAACTAGAGAAGAGAAGGATACATCACTGTGACTTTCCGGGTAAGTACCACTTTCTACTAAATTTTAAAATTCCGTGTTTCTGAAAGGGACCACTACTGTGATTTTACTAGCCTTTTCAGAAACTGGAAAGGGCTGATTTATTCCCTCTTTGGCACCAGCTGCGTCCTCCACTGTCACTTTTAAACGACATTTAAAGGTGACAGTTTTCGGTGTCCATTAGCATCTTTCTTCTCTTTTAACAAAAGATTAAGTTTCTGACCAGTATTTCACTTCTATCCTCCTTTGACCTTTTGGCCTCCAGGCTAAAAATACCTATTTATCTCCTTTACAGGTTGCACGAAGGTCTACACTAAAAGTTCGCACCTGAAGGCCCATCAACGAATACACACAGGTAAGACCTTTTCACTAGCCATAAAAGAAGTTTTCCGTTTTAAAGGCGTTTGAAGGGTCATCCCTCCAACCGGGCATTCAAACCTAGTTTAAGCTTCCCATTAACTGCACGCGGCGAACTCTAACGAAGACGGTAGGAAACGTGACCCCCCGCCGCGAGACCGGAAGTTAACTAGCTGTGATTGAAAATTGCTTCTTATAGTCACTTGTTTTTTGTTCTTTCTTCTTCCTTGTTACGAATTTTAAGGATGATTTTGATCTTTTCCAGGTGAAAAACCATACAAGTGTCACTGGCCGGAATGCCAATGGAGATTCGCTCGATCTGACGAACTGACTAGACATTACCGGAAGCATACGGGAGCCAAACCCTTCAAATGCAAAGTGTGTGAGCGTTCCTTCGCCAGATCCGATCACTTGGCGCTACACATGAAGCGCCACGCTCCAAAAGCCAAGTGAACGGTTTAAGTGATAGTTCTTGTGATGCGTATTTTAGCATTTTAACATTATTATTGTTATTAATTAATTAAACTAATTATCATAAAAAAGAAACCATCTACTACGGGAGAACCTTCTGCTAGGTAGAAAATTCTCCAAGTAAAGCCAAGCCTTGCGCACCTATACATTTGCACAAAAGTTTGTATATAAATCAGCGTGGCTTCCTCTACGACTGTGTTGAAATTTGTGATCTTCCCAGTGCCTTAACCCTCTTCGTTACTGGTTAATTCTGACTCGAGTGCTAAATTTGCCGATGATTGGAGCCAGGTGGTCAAATTGACCGAGAGGAAAATCGAAGTCTTGCCCTCCACTTCCACTGGAATAACAAGCTCAAGATGTCATTCCAGGTTGTGACACATTTCTTGGTTGTGCCAATTTCGTGAGTTCGGACGGTTTATTATTATTATTATTATTTTATTTTTTTTTTACAACGAAACGTTTTCGTATACAATATATATATTATGATATTAGTGCCTTATGGGTGCTGCATCGTCTATGTATATACGCTCTTTGATGCAGCACTCTCACATTCCTTCTGGGAACAATTCATTTTTATTTTTGTGTACACTTTGTACAAAAGATAATAAAGTCTGTTCATTTAAAAAAAAATCTTGCCTTTTCTGAAACTTCTTTCCCTTTCCGAAGTGACTCGTTAACTTGTGATTTTTACGATTCCCAATGGACATTTTCAGGTTTCAGTTGGAGAAATCAATTACTAGAACGTGACAAGTAACCGTGTTGAAAACGTGATGCACTCATAAATCTAACATTTTTCGACTCAGATTCCAACCTAAATTCATAGTTTATTATGGTTATATATGGAAGAAGATCTGTAATGTCTAGTTTTTCGAAAAAATCCTAAATTATTAGCTTATATAATTCTACAAACACAGCACTTGTAGGATCCAAAATTGAATCCTTTCAATTTCTCTCACTCGTACGATAGAAAACACGCGAATTATACTATATATAGTCATAGTTCTTTTTATTTATATGCCTAACGAATCACTAAATTTGGTTTCTATTATAATCCGAATAAGTGAAATCTTCCCACGTGTAACCTCTCTCTCTCTCTCTCTCTCTCTCTCCATATTTCCGGACTAAAGCTTATGATATATGAAGACGGAACCGTTATAACTCGGGCTATTTTATGTATTAAACATAGAGGGGTCGAGTAGTGGAATCTAAATGTGGAGGAAGTAACGCCACGGGACGTACCGTTCGATGGCAACGATTTGTAGGCAAAGGGAGGTTTGTCTATCAGGTCTCACAGCGGCAACACTCGCATCCGGCGAGAGACAGCGGAAACTGTAGTGAGGAAAGAAGATCTGGTGCGAGAAGATAGTAGACCCGGGACTTCTTCGAATTTTGAAACTTCTTCGATATCTAGGAAAGCGGCCTTCGAATGGCAGTGGTAAAGTTGGCTCGGATTACAAGCCAAGGGAGAGAAAAGCTGGGATCAGAGGTGACGACACACAATCCTCGGTCCCGCCCTAAAAAGGTGGATAAAAACACGACGCCGCACACATTAAATATGACAATTTACTAAGCCCGGTCACAAATTAGTGGTTCCAAATGGAGAATAATTTTTACTTTAAAAAAAAAAAAAGAAAAAAATGAGGTTTTCTCATAAAGAAAGCCATTGAGAAGTTTAGGTGTTAGGTTAAAAATCTATAGAATTTTCTATTATACATTAAATTTGAGTATGTAAAATGGAAATTTAATTAATTCTTCCATCCTTAATTTAAATTTTGCATAACTTAACACTTTTTACTAAGATTTAATCGATCGTTATAGGAGACCATTTTCATCGTCTCTGTCTGTAAAAGTTGTAAAATATGATTCGAATTCTTCGTTAGTAAAACTCCTTAAAAACAATCAAGAAGCGGTCGTAGACGTTTGATCCCTATAATTAATGGTGATTAACATAAGAGGTAATTTCGATATCCGGTTTTGCTAGTCGTTAGCGAATCGAAGTATCAAAAATTTACAACTAAATAATAGAATGCGAGGACTATGGGTGGCTCCTTACATAATTGTGTCATGTTAGACCCGGTTTCGTTCCATAGATGATTGGTTAATGAAGATCGAAGCCAAGAAAAATATGAAGTTTTTAACATTCAACGAAGTTGTTAATGGACTCCGTACTTGTTTAAATAAGGGGAATCCCTAAAATTCATAATTGCAAAATCATTTTTTTTTTAAAATATATGTCTAAGATAAATCTCACCACCCAAATTACATATCTGCAAATCACAGTGTTTAATTTAAGTTTTAGTTCCTTTTTTTGGTGTTCAGACAGATTGCAAATCCGGTAAAATTTATTGTTTTGAGATTTGAAAATGCACGTGTACGTAGATAGGGTTGTTGTAATTATTAGCATTATAACGTGAAGTTGTAGAGGATAACCGGTTAAGAGTTATTCAACGACGCCATAATGAATGTTGTGTATAAGAAAACATCATATGTCACTAAAGTTTATTGTTAACTCAGTCAAAATTGAAATGATGAAACGGTTATATATGATTTTTTGTTAACTTATAGTCGAAAATATTAGAAGTTTTCTTACCTTTTCTTTACGTTATTAAAACCTTGGTTTATCTTTAAACTAGTGCCTCTTATACGTCCCGGATTTCTATTGTTTTCAACCCTCAAAATTAGAATAAAACTTTAATTATTACCTTTTTATAGTTCTTCTAATACAATATAACTAATTTATAGGGTAATATATAAAATTATATGTCTTTCATTTCAGATTTAAAACTGATTTATGAATATTTTTTGAAGAGTTTTTACTTAATTCTTTCGTTAAGTTAAGCCCTATTTATCCAAAAATTCCTAATAACGATTTATATCTTTGTATAGTTATTTAATAATTTGTTATACTTGAATGTAAGCATGAATTATAACTCTTGTATGGAAGATAAAGGCTGTATTTAGTTTCTAAATAAAGATATGGTTCTTTTGTAATTGATGTAATGAGCTACAATAATGGGCCTATGTGTCGTATTTAATCATTGACGAGATAACTTTTTTCAATACTCCGAGTGGGTTCACCTTAATTAGCTTTAAAACTGGACCTAAAAGAAGCGTTAATATATCTTCTAACACTTACACAATGATAAGAATTAAAATATAAACAGTCGAACCTTCAATGACGGCCACCTCTTAACAACGGCCATTTATTTATTTATTCGTAATAATGATAATGCATGATTTTAATAACAATTTACTTTAATTGTATTTAAGGAATTGGCATTTATTAACGCTAAAATCTTTACGTTGAAACATCGAAGATTAGTGTTTAAATTCGTGTAATATTTTACGTAAGAAGACCGTGACCAATTAAAATGGTCGCCTCGGGGTGAAGAGGCGAAATCACTTTGACATACATAATTTACATTTAGCATTAAACGTCTAATTGGTTATTTAAGTATGTAATTTACTTCGTGGTTATAATTTTTATACATCTAGATCAGTGATCTTCGAGCTTATAGCATCTACGTGAATCTCACTAAATTTAATTGTTTCGAAACCCTAAAAGAAATGGAAGTTAAGTAGAAAAAATTTAGTTAAAAGTTGTTTCCTAAATGGTAATTTTATTATGCTGCTAAAATAATTAATTAAATGTATTTGAGGTTCTATAAAAATATATAAAACTCAAGGGGAATAGCTCAAAAAGTAACGTTGTAAATGGAAGAAAATTTTATATTTTCTATACAAATCACAAAAATTTCGGCATTTTTAACGATTCGATGAAAACTTTTATTTGTTATAATGTAACAATAAGCAGCAATACGTGTTATAATATTATAAATAACTTATTTATATTATCAGTAAGCATCTTCCCCACAAACAAATGCTTACTGATGTAATAACATTAAATCATTTCATAGATTATTATAGGGCCTATATAAAAACATAATAAATTAATTATTTAATAATTTTTAAGTTTAATAAACCACACAACTGTTTCTATTTTCACCCTATTTAATATAAGGACTAAGCAGGATCAAGCCAGATTTGTGGACGGACAGGAAGTCTGAGATCAATTTTAATGATAGATCTATACAGATAAAAACAAACCGATCGTGCTATTTATATTTAAAGCTTAATATCTGATATCATTTTAGATAAGCCAAACTGTTTTCTTCTTTTATATTTAATATATTAATCATTTTAATTTGGGTCTAACTTCACTCTCTTAAGTATAAAATGATGCAACTTCCCACCCTCCTATCACATTTAAATGAAAGTAAAAATTACCAAATTTTAATGTTTCTATACTCAGATTATTATGTTAAATGAAAATAAAGCATTAAGTAAGGTTTATTATGCATTTTTATAATGAAAACAGCATCGATTCTATGCTAAATATAAGCTTAACCTATTGATCTCTATCGAAGCAGACTTCTTTTTTTTTTCACAATATAAAACAGAAATTAGAGAAGAGTAATATCTATAAAAACTAAATGCATCATTTCCGGCATTCTACATCACTCTGTTTATGTAAGGAACTGACGTAACACTTGTCTAAACTGGTAAGACTCGAGACACGTGGAGAAGAACAAAGAATCTCCTGTGTACAGGCGCATGTTGTTTTCACGTTAGAGATAAATAAAATAAAATAATAAAATGGCGGCACCAACGATTTAAAAAGCAAATTATATGGAAAATATAGTCGATCGGCTCTCCATATTTTATTAAATCGGAAGAATAAACGATCTCCGACCACCATGTTCCGTTACATCGGAGATGATGTATAACGAAAACAATACGAACATTTATTACATTTAGAGCTTTGGCTTACGGAATTAATGTAAAATTTCGGCGGAGTTGACTGATTTATTACTAAATATCGGTCGGTGGGGTTGATTGATGCGCGGTATAATAATGTAATCGACTATATATCAATTAAGAAAATTGCTCTTTGTTGTGTTCTCGTATCCGTTTCCATACACCCGAAGGAGATAAATGATAAATAATGAAAGGAGACGTCTAAAGAAACTATGTAGACAGGAATTTTAACCATTTAAAATTGTTAATTCTAAGGTTTATTATATTCTAGATGTGGAGTAAAATAATAAAATATGTAAAGACACCACTGTTTAACGATTATAAAAGATTACTTTTGATTAGTTCTTAATTTTATAACTAAGAATAAGATTGCTGTGATTGATTAAACGGCCGAAAATTCGGCTTATTTAGGTTTATTTATTCATTTTGATTAAGAATAAGTCAGATTTGAATTCGGTTTCGGTGATTTTAAAGCATCTTTATGCAATTTCCTCTTGTAATTCTCTGTGTGTTGGTTTTCGAGCGTGAGCCCGAGGCGAAGGATTGGAGGATGACCCCCGTGGTCACGGCAAACCATTCAAATCCGGAGCAGAAAGAGAAAAAAAAAAAAAAAACAGGTAAAAATCCGTTGCACAATCAGTTTCCCGAGCGGCGGCCTCTCGGACTGCGTGTCACCGGCCCATAATGCAGATGGAAGCGTGGGTCCGAGTGGTCCAGAGAGATCACGTGAGGATAGAGAACCGGATAGACCGAAGATGGTAAGGATAAGAGTAGCGCAGGCGTATCGTGTGCGTCGGCGCAGCCGTACGCGTGCTCCTTTAACAAGTCAGACCGCTTGGCATTCTCAAAGGTCACGAACTAACCGGCAGGCACGCGACCCTGCTTGAGTTATTAAACGTGGCCTGGTGTCTCGCTCCGGGCCAAGTAAGTGAGAACACTTTTATTCCCGTCGGAGTTGTCAGACTATACAGATAAATGGCCCGGTAATGCCTGCCCCACGCGGTAATCTGTACTTCGGTTGTTCCGTTCCACCAATTGGGTCCCGCTTGTAATTTCTGCCGGGCATTCGCCCTCCTAACGACTTAATGGATTGATAGGGAAAGCTTTATTGTGCTAATGGTGAAATGTCTGCGATATGTCAATGAAACTTGTAACCTTCGTCTTGTAGAGAGCTCCACTCTTCTTTCTTTAAAAAAAAAAAAAAAAATACTTTCGTTATTATCGAGGGGGAGTCGACTGATAACTTGACTCACTAAAACTAAGATTTACGTAGATCGGTAAACGTGGAAAGGTGGGATTCGACCACTGTGACGTATCGTTCGTGTCACGTGATTATGTTGACTCATTCAGAGTTTACACTACACACGAATCGGTATATTCATACAAATTTTTACTTCGTGTTTACGTAATAACTGATTTCCGTATGATGTAGCCCTTTTATAAAGTTTCAGATTGATAACGTAATTACTTAATTGTTTGTTGATGAATTCGAAAAGCAATAAATGTAATTAATAGCTAACAGTTCTAAGGAGAGTTACAATTTACGATTATTTCTGTAAATGACCCCTACGATGACCCCAATCTTAAGAATTAGTATCGTAAACTGTAAGATCTTAAAGAGTGGCGAACAATGAAGAGGCCCGAGGGATCCGGTCTCAAACGAGCAATACGTATTGTTGATTAGTGAGTGAGTGTAATTGTTCCACACGGGCAATAAGATTGAAAAGGGGTGCTTTATGGCACGAATAAATTCATCAAATTCGTGTCGGGTGTTTAAATTCGATGACCCATTTCCGCTACGAAGAAACCCATAAACTATTAATCTACTTTATTTAAACCCCTTTAAAATTCGTGATATCAAGCTTATCGAGTAACGACCCTAAGAGGGCCAAGGATGACGAGTAGAAGGAGACACGTGTCACGGATATT